TCACCAGTTGGGTTTCTGAACCAAGTCCATCCCATCAGTAGAGGCTACGCAAAGTTAAACCCCGCCTGCTCACTGCCCCACTGTCTCGGTGGTTAGGGTGCCAGATCACTGGTGTGCAGTTTGATTTGAGTGACCCAGTTGTGGTGGAGGTCTGAGAAGGAAAGGAGGTTGTTTGCACTAATGGCTGATTGGTGGATGGGGTGTTGCTGTGTGGAGAGTATTAGGATAATTAAGTGGCAGTTAATTAATGTAAAGATTGCAAAGATTAATGTGCTCCCCTTGTGGAAGTGGGAACGAGAAGACTGGCAGCAGAAAGGAATAGCCCATGCTTCACATGTATTTGACAAAGGAAAAACTATATAAGGGATCAATTAACACAACCGCAAAGAGATTATGATAGAAAAAGCCTTTTATTTTAACTAGAATATTGTATATGTGCGGTCACTCCATTTGAAAAAAAACTTTTTAAGTTTCCATCTGCCATTTACTTTCTGGCCACTTTATTATTGTTCATCTCACTCTCACACTATACCTGCAAGTGCGTACATGTTCCTGCATGCATCAGTGCATGTTTATTTATGTAAATTAAAAAATTGTGCGTGTGCTGTCTATAAATAAGTAACAAGCAAGGGGTTGTGTTTGCATGTGTGAGCACTTCTTGCATGCCTCCATGAAACTAACATTAAATCTACATTTGGGTAAATGACCTACAACCAGACACTGCTGTGTTTGGTTTAGCCTCACAGCTGAGTGGAGAAAGACACCAGCAGATTTACTGCGTATGTACACATCCACCCATGCACGCATGCAGATGTGTGCTTGCACACACACACAAACACACACACGGACAAAACCAAAGCGCATAAATACATTGTTCCATCATTCACTGGTGCAGTTTATGGAGGAAGGCAGGAAGTGTGCAGGAAGCAAGAGGAAGAAAAAACAAGGAGGGTAAGAACATAAAAGATGGGGGAATAAGAGGAGAAAGAAGAAGATGTGACAAATAAAAGGTAAGAGTGAATATGAAGAGCAGTGTTTGGTCACTCCATTTTAAAAACATCTTAAAGCTGTTTCAAAACAGCTGAGACACGGAGGATAAGATCAATTTTATGACTGAGAGATGGTGAGAGGGACAGCTAAATCTCTTGTTTGCACCCTGTACAGGCAACAACATGTTCTACCCTCTAGTCCAGTGGTCCCCAACCCCCGGGCCTCGGACCGGTACCGGTCCGTGAGTCGTTTGATACCGGGCCGTGAGAGTTGACGCTCAGGTCTGAAATGTATGGTTTTCAGGGTTTTTATTGGTTTTCAGCGTTATTTTGTTAT